TAAAGAGGTAATTAGAATCTATTTAAGATTTTATTAGTAATAGAGTATATAAGTTATATTTACGCATCTAAATTTAACTAATAATAAGAGGTTACTAAAAGTTATAACACTAGTAGCTTTAAGTAGAAGTATAACACTAGTAGCTTTAAGTAGAAGCTTTATAAGAATAGCTACCTAGATATAGAAGTAGATAGTTATAACGCTAGCAGCTTTAAGTAGAAGCGTAACGCTAGTAGCTTTAAGTAGAAACGTAACACTAGTAGCTTTAAGTAAAAGTGTAACACTAGTAGTTTTAAGTAAAAGCTTTATAAGAATAGCTATAAAGAAAAGAAGTCTCTTTAAGCGCAAGCTACTACTACTACTACTACTACTACTACTACTACTACTACTACTACTACTACTACTACTACTACTACTACTACTACTAAATAGAATATAGAAATAGTCTTAGCTATTTTAATCTTCTAGTAATAGCTATTAAAAAGGCGTAATCGCAAGAAGCTATACTACTACTATAGTAGCTATAGATAAGAAAGTTAAAATAGATAAGAGAATAGAGATAGAGATAGAGATAGAAGTAAGAGTAATAGAGATAGAGGTAGAGTAATAATAGAAGAATCTTTACTAGTAGATAGCTTTATAGCCTAAGCTCTAAAGTAATAAAATTATAGTAAATAGTAAATATATAATATAAGAGAGGCTTATAAACGCTACGCGCCTTTATAAGTTAGAAGGTAAGTAACTATATCTACGCTTAAGTATATTTCTCTAGAGCTAATAGTGTTATAATAGAGACGTATTAAGTGTAGATAAGAAATAATACTTTACTATTATAAGAAATATATTAAGTATAGATAAGAAATAATACTTTACTATTATAAGAAATACATTAAGCGTAGATAAGAAATAATACTTTACTACTATAAAGAATTAAGTAGCTTAAGCCTTTTAACTAGCTAATCTAGTGTTAGAGATAGTAATAGTATTAATAATACCTACTCTAGACTTAATAACTAGAAACAGTAGTAAGAAAGAGAAGAAGAATAGATAACTACGTAACTATTATAATATATTAACTAGCCTAGAATATAGATATTAATTTTATTATATACTATAAGAGCGCTAGACTTCTTAGAGTATACTCTACTAGAAATAGAGATAGTATATATTATTAATAAAGTCTATTCTAGTGTAGTTTATATTATCTAATAGAGAGTAGATATAGTAATAGCTAGCTAGGTAAAGTAGTAAGAGAAGGTAAACTAATAACTACGTAATAGTCTAGTAGTAGGTAGTAATAGCTAGCTAGGTAGAGTAGTAAAAGAAGGTAAACTAATAACTACGTAATAGTCTAGTAGTAGGTAGTAATAGCTAGCTAGAGTGCGCGCTTAATATATAGATTAGTACTTCTATATAAATAAAGTTATTATAGAAAGAGGTAGAGAGAGAATAGACTTTATCTTATAAGCTAAGCTAGCTATAGTAGATATAGTAAGATAATAAAGAAAAGTTAGATATTCTAGAAAGGCTTTAAGTCTTTCTATCTATAGATATTCTTATAGGCTAGGCTAGCTATAGTAGACGTAGTAAGATAATAAAGAAGAGTTAGATATTCTAGAAAGGCTTTAAGTCTTTCTATCTATAGATATCTTATAGACTAGGCTAGCTATAGTAGACGCTAGAGAAAGAGTATAGATATAGGTAGCAAAAGTTTCTAACCTAAGGTTAGAAAGTCTATAGGTATCTAGTAAACTAAATATAAGCTAATATCTATATAGTAGAGTAATAAAGAGAAAGCTTATTAATAGATAGATATAATATTAAGAAGTAGCTAAAACGCTATATTATATTATAATAGTAATGTTAACGTATCTAGCCTTTAAATTATAATAGTAAGAGTTAGTAATATATTTAGAAGTAAGTACTCTAAAGAAAAGAGGTTATAAAGTATATATTACTAATATAACTATAGTTCTCTAAGCTAACTCTAAGCTAGAGCTATGCTACGCTAGCCTATTATATAACTTAAATTATATACTACTAAATCTTTCTCTTCTTAAAGCGTCTATTTCTCTAGTCTAGTCTATTATATAAAAAGCGCGCTTAGCTTCTTAGTTAATAGAAAGCTTTTACTATACACTACTCTCTATAAACGCGTAGTCTAGTAAATAGTAACTAATAATACTACTACCTATTTCTAGCTTTATTACTAAATTCTTAGTAGTTAGTCTTTTTATATATAATAACTAACTCTCTACTATTCTTTAACGCTTACACTCTACACTTATAAGATACGCGTTATATATAATCTTATATAATAGCTACTATTATAAATAGCTAGCTACTTTTCTAGTATTAGGTATTAATAAATAATAAGTAATATATACCTTACGCTATTTTATAAATAAAAAGAATTAATAGAAAAGCTTTACTAGACCTAGGTAATAGATAGAGAGAGATCTAAGATAAGAAATAAGAGAGCTAGTTATAATATTATATTAGTAGCCTACTAAGAGGCAGAGTATATACACTAATATACTAGCTAAGAATTAGCTATAAGTACTACTAGAGAAGCGCGTAATAGCGTAGAAGTTTTATAATATAGAGTCTTTCTAGTATTTTATTTCTAATACTATATATTATAGTATTAGTAACTATAAATAATAATCTAAGTAGTTGCTTAAATTAAACTACCTACCTATAAGACTTATGCAAATAACAAAATATATAAAAAGGCACTAAAACTACATACTATAATTATAGCTATAAAGATAATATAAAGTGCTTTATAGAATAAATATATAATAATATTAATAGCTTAACTATAATAAAAGCACTATAAAAGCCTTTCTACAACGTGTTTATAATACTAGATAATAATTAAAACTATATATAGTAATAGAATTTAGCTTAATATAAAGTAAAATATATAACCTACTTACTATGTAATATTTCTAATATAGCTTACAAATTCTAACGTATTGTTAGCTAATAAGCTAGTTATGTTATTAAAATAATATTAGTTATATTATATAACTATATTAACGTTAAATTAAAGCTCTTTGTAACACAAAACTATATTTAATATATTAAGTATTTTGCTTTATATTATCTAATAGTAGCTAACTAGTGCCTTGTGCCTAATTTTGTAGACTCTATTTAGTAAAAAGACGTTAAAAGACGCCTAGCTTTTGTCTTAGAACTACTAGAAGATTTTAAGATTTTAATATATTTAGTGTATATTGCTATTAGTACTAAGGCTTCTATATAGACTAATAACACATTACTTTTAAGACTTTACTAAGAAGAGAAACTTTATATTAAGTAATGTCTATATTATTAACGCCTTGCTATATTTAATCTTTAGCTATTAATATAATATAACTTAAGCTAATAAAGATAACTACTCTATTATAGCTTAGTTCTTAAGAGCAACTATAATAGTAGAACACTAATATAGCTACTATCTATTTAATAGTATTATTATACTAGAGGTAGACCTTAAACGCCTTATTCTCTTTAGTCTATTTATTACTACTCTAGCTAAGAATTCTAATAAACGCCTTACGCTAGTATATAATAGCTACTTTTATTTTTATAAGTAAAGCTGTTTATAGCCTAAGCTTATATATAAAGTTATAAGTATAAATAGCGTAGATAATTAATAAATTACTCTAGGTAGAAAGAGTAACGCTAGTAATATAATAACTATTTTATTACTCTCTTTAGAGTAGGTATAGCCTATAAAAGAACTTTTATATATTACTAGTAAGTTGCTTAAAGGCTTAGCTATAATAGAGAACTATAGAAAGTCTTAGTCTATATATTAGAAGCCTTTATAGTAGTAGTATAATAATCTTAATAGTATTAATAGTATTAATAGTAGTAATAGTCTTAGTAGTCTTAAGACGTAATATAAGATAAGTAAGGTAGGCCTTAAGAGCTCTAATAATAGCTTCTATAATAGCCTTAATAATAGTCTACATAATAATTACTAAAATAGTTTAACTAAGAGCTTTCTTTTTAGTAGTCTTAGAGTAGTCTATAGAAGCTTTAATAAGCAACGTAGTATAAGAATATAATTAATATAGGTATAGAGAGAGGTAATATAACTAGTAATAAGATTAGCTTTAGATAGACTTACTAACACTAGAAGAACTTATAAAAGAGTAGTAACGTAGTTAAGAGCTTATTTAGTATACTAGTATAGCTTTTAGTATTAGATTTAAGCTACTATTTACGTCTTTAATAAGTCTTTAGATCTCTAATTTTACTATAAGCTATAGAATAAGAATAGAGGTAGAGAATAGAAAGTATATATATAGAAGTATAATTTTGTAAGCTAAGATTTTAGTATTTTATTACTTTATAATTTATAGCTTAGTTAGTTATAAGCTATTAAGAATATATAATTATATTATAATTCTCTCTACTATAGTATAGGTAGACATTAGTATTTATAGAATAGTTGCCTTACTACTCTAAATTTTAAAAGCTTTAACTATACTAAAGGTAGTAGCGCTAAAAACCTAAGCTTTAGCCTGCCTAACGCCTACACCTCTAAATATAGAATTTTAACCTTTTTAGAAATATGTCTTTTTATATACTAGTAACAGACTTTACTCTTTTTAGACTAGTTTACGCTGTAGGATTAGTTTGCTAATAAATAGTAGCTAACAAAACACGTTATTAATTTGCAAAGCTTTTATAGTTATTACATCTATAGTATAGAGCGCGCTATAGTATATTACAGACTAGGCCTCGATACTAGTTAATGCAGTCTATTAGTTTGCTAGGCTAGTATCCTCAGACTGCGGGCATTCCAGGTTAATTCACCTAGCGCGTAGGCATACCTAGCTATAATTACCCTAGCCAAGCCTATCAGTCTAACTTCGGCTTTCGCACTAGTAATGGTTTCGGTAATCAGACTAGTCCTAGTCAGTTTCCAGGTGAGCGATCTTTATGCATGTTCGCTACGGCCGCCACTAACAATAGAAAAGATGCTAGACCCACACACTCTTATCAAGAGAACAACGTCGATCAAGGATATCGAGATCGGGCTTTCCCAGTCAGCAAAGCGAATTGGTGGCTTGATCGACCTCGGCGAGATCATCGTAGCTCTCCCAAGTCTTTCCACAGATGCACCACACTGACGTGTGTTAGGTGAATACGCGGAAATGATCGTTGACTTCGTCACAAAGCGGCTCCGCAGCGCTAAGGACAAGAACAAAAGTGAGATGCGAGATCTCGACGAGGATTTGTGGAAGTTCTTGCAGCAGGAACACCTCCGCAAATATGAATTGCAGGTGGGCCAGCTGTATGATGACTGGAACGATTTCATCGACACTCAGTCCGCCACCGATGAGTTGCAAGAGAAATCGGTTGACATGCCAATCGATGGCAGTTGTGCCGAGCCCGAAACTATAATGGAAGCCAAGGGTAATGTGGATGGCAACGCCAAAGCTCAGGCTGAAGTCAATGCTCTCTTCAAGGCCCAGCAAAAGCTTGAACGTACCAAAGAGGAGCTCGCATGGACTAGAGGTGAGCTGGCCAAGCTTCAACATGAGAGAATCGATAAAGAGAAGAAGAGCACCGAGCCCAAGTTACTCGTATCTGCCAGGCCCGCCCAGCACGCCTCATCCGCGGCATCACAAGGGGGAGACCAAGTCAAAAGACGCGAAGGTCGAGACTGGACGGTCGCTAGCCAGGTTATCGATTTGACGGCAGTCGGCTCGCCGTTTCTAGAGCATATCGATCAGACAGAGAAGTCTCCCAACTTCCACAGGATCGCCCATGAGCCACTAGGTCATAGTACGGTCGCATTGCGTAAACGTTCCCGACGGTATATGGCTGATGACTCATCTGACCGTGCCGCGTCAGATCTTGACTCAGAGCCAGAAGCAAAGCGACTCGATCGACCACGCCTACACTCTCGTCGAAGCCCTAAGCTTGCCGGTACCCGCTCGCGAAAGCTTACAGGCGACATATCTACATTCAATAGAGCTTCCGGAACCTTGAATGAAGCCCGTTCGCGACGAAATCAAGCTCAAACTCCGTTTGGCGACGAGATGTCGTCAGATGAGCACATTGATGATGACATCAAACCACTTGAGGCTGAGAGAAGCCAACGCCCTAAAATGAGGAAGACCCGAGAGGCTCGTTTCGTACCATACGTCTTTGTGGTCCCGTCAAGTGGCGGCGGAAGGCCCGCATACAAACAACTTCGCGACTTCCCCAGACATATTGCAGACTCTTTGGTAGCCGCTATTCTCGCCGAATGTCACCAGTCGGACGAAAGAAAGGTAAGACATGCCAACTACTTGGCCATAGAAAACCAAGCACGATCTTTGGAAACAAGCAAGTGCATGCTCGGCTACGTGATCGCTAAGAACAACCATGAACGAAAGCCAAGGAACAGTCTTTCCTACTGCTGCACCACTTGCCAGAACAGAACGAATCGCATCTGCTGTTTTCTGCAAATGTACAAACAGGATGGCAACAGCGAGGCGATGCTCTTTGTCTACCCGAAGCGCAACAGGGAAGCTTCCTGGAAAGGCTTGGACTTCTGGATGTGAACATCATTCTGCTAGTCACAGATGCCACGAGCCTCTTTTGCCTCTCCATCATTGGGCGCATACAACCAGTCTCTTGCTTTCATAAGCGGGTACCTATCACCTCTCGCTTGTCTGAGCGGGCTTTTTTCGTCTCTTAAACGTTCCTCACGTTTGCTAGTCCTTGATTCCACTTTGCGTCAGTCTATCGCTCGTCATCAAAGCGGTCTATCTACTTGGTTCTACTAGGTTTTAGTTCCTCTTCTTCTTCTTCTCTCTCCATGACCTGCGCGTGGGATCGACATACATATGGAAGTAGCGTAGAAGTAGCAAATGCGTGATGTCGTCGAATTTGTGTATTCAGATTTCCATCATCGTATCGCGCTATTGTATCAGCCATGTATGGGCGCAAAAAGTCACAGTCCCATCGAACCCAGAGCGAGTGTTGGCGCAGCTATTAGTACCACACGAACTGCCACCGCATAGGTGTGCTTTACTCTAACTCAGCCGGTGATCACAGATCTAGCATGAACAACCAAGCAATCGAGGAGCGCTTGACCGCGACGGTCCCAGCGCCCAAACCACAAACAATGGACATCACGTACCATATTTGAATAAAGCCTGCGATTTTCTTCTGAACAGAGCCCGACCTGATTCACACTCCCGAAGTCCGCTCTGAATCAACGTGCAGCCGAGACAATTCTACGACGCTACAAGCATGACCGGAACCGGTATCGAAAAGAAGTTACAACGAGCGTCATTAATCCAGAAGCAACGTGCGGATGAAGTGACTCAGTTTGTGGAAAAGTTGGCCAGCCAGAAGGAGGAGTTGGACAGAATGGTTGCCCAGGGTATCTTAGACATCAGATCAGAGAATGCCTACGTAAGCTATGCTTCCCGAATGCATTAACACGATCTAACTTAGAACAAAGGCCAACGTGACCAGCCTCGACGATATTGGACCCCTGGAATCCTTCGAAGAGTGGACGATGAAACTAAATGACCAGTCTTCCGCCGCCCCGGAGGGTACCACTGCGCTATTTCATATGATCGTTCCGCCAGCCAGGAAGGCGCGGGCCGCCTCGGTCCTCCTTCAACAGGCTATCACCGAATTGGAAGAGGTACCCAGGCATACCGAATCCATTTTGAAGAACGAAGAGCTGGAAATCACGCAGCGTTACGAGATGCTGGTAGCAGCGGATGATTGGTACGGGAGCATGCTAATCCAAGCGGCAGAGCTCTATCTGGAGCCAGCGGAGAAAACAATCAGTGCCTTTCTCGACGCATACAAAGAGCAAGGAAAGGATCTTGATCAAAAAACCCTGCAGGAATTCGACAGCAGCAGTCCCGAGCAGAAGATACAGATGATGTTGGATCACCGGGTCGCTACTTTCGCAACCACTGCCGATAATCGCGAGATATCAACCTTTCGCAAAAATATCCTCATGCTGCTCATGTTTACACAGAGCAGATGGAAGTCAGAAATGGAAGACTGCCTTAAGGAGCTTCGTGGTGTCATCCCTGGAACCGAGACCATCTAGTCAGGGATGGAGCGAATCGCGGAGGGAATGCCTTGCGCTGCCATTCGTGTGTTAACGTACAATGAATTGAGAGATCGTTGAGTCAATCGAAGATCACGGATTTAGCGGGTTGATACGAGGTTGCCGCATACAAAGCATTAAATGTTAACAAGTAAGTGATGTTTGAGACAATGTATGCTTCAGGCCTAGAACATGTTTTTTGGTTTCATGGCTCGACTGTCCTCATCGAATGGTGTCGTGTTGTGACCAACGACTGGCTCGCCGTGTATGAGCTCGATTTTGAAGGCGCCCCAATGCCTCATACCACTACTTTGGGTCGTTCGTATCAGACGCTGTGATGTACATAGTTGGCGAAGTCATTTGTTTGACTTGACCCAAAGACCTCTCAAGAATATCGATGCTGTTCCATTGCATCTCGCCAAGCTCTTGGGTCATCTATATATGGACGTTATGCCAGGCTTGCACTGTTTGGTCGTCTTCAAAGACGGCGTTATCGAACTCGCAGGCGGCTTCAAGGTCCACGATCTCGAAGTTTATGTCGTCGCGCCCCAGGGCTATCAACCGCTCCAGAACCGTTCGTGCTGCGATGGCCCAGTCGGCGTGGGCATCTGCCACCGAGATATCCGCCAAAACAATCACAGTCTTGTTGTACTCGCTGTCCGGACCAGGTGTCTTGAAGGGTTTTCGGATGACTACTTCGACATCGTAGTAGCGAACCGAGGCTTCCCGCAGTATCTGGTGAACTTCAAGCATAAAGCCGGCAAGCCACTCGCGGAAGCCTTGATGCCGAGTTGTGCGTACTGGAAGTTGTGGCATGCTGGGAGAACATACGCGATAGGATGATCTCGTGTCTAGAAGAGGAAACGGTGTCATGGTGGTTAGATGAAGGAGGGGGTTGTCTGGAGATTGCGCGAGACGCCGCAGCTGGTTCCGATTGACTTGTGAAGTAGTTGCGTCGTGCCGTGACCAGTGCAAGCTAGAAGAATCCATCAAATTTGCGCGGCGGGTTGAGCGTGGTCGGAAGAGACCCGACTCGTTGCTTCGTTATCTCTCATGCTCGCTCGTGGTGCGTCCTCCTGATTGACCCACAATTTGTAATGATAGCGGAATTGTTACCCAGGGTTGGAACGGCGGATTTCGGGCTGGCGAGATTGATCAATACTCGAATGCAAAGCTTCATTGGTAGTGAGACCGCTTCGGGAAGCCATAGCTCTGGGGTGCAGGAGCGAATCCTACGTTGGCAAAGCAAGTACGGTTGGAGGCTTGTCGTTTCCGCTATCGCGCCAGGTCAATCTGTGCGGCTTCCCAACCTTGAAAACTCCCAATGCCAGTGATCACGTGGCGTGCTGTGGTTGTCGTGAGTCGTGCTTTCCTCTCCTGCCATCTGCCACCCTGCACCCCACCTCCGCGGCGGAATCGTGGAGAAGAGTCTGACGCATTATCTGCATCTCACGCAGTCATCCTGAGATGGCGAACACACTGCCATGGAACATCCGCGCCCCAGGGCTCGAACTCGCCATCCGCCGGCAAACTCTCAACCTCCCCAACCCCCACACCGATCTCATCGACGCTGACGAAGATAAGGAAGATGAATAGGACAATGACAATCAGTCCTCGCAAGAAGCCCAGGTATCCCAATCGTCCGAGCCGGACCTCGAGCGGCAGGTCGAGGATCTCAACGCTCGTCTGGATCTGCTTCGTAGCGCGGACGAGAGAAAACGGGGCCTTCTTCATCGAATCCAAGAGCGCACTGCTGCTGCCATCAGACTGCGACGTACGTGGTATTCCATACGTTTTCGGTCTGCTCGAGAGCGATGTATTCGCCTAGTCCATCAGCTAACGTGTTACTTCTGAGCAGAAAACCATATCTCGACAGCGCTCGCCCTTGCAAGCATTGCCCCTCTCGAAGCATTGCCCCTCTCGAAGCGAAAGTCTCAAGACTCACCGATGAGATTGAGCAGGCCAAGTACGAATTCGGCGTCATGGAAGTCGCTCGACAAGAAGCCTATGAGACCCTGGATGTGGGACATGCCTTGGTTGTGTCCGACGTGGCCAAGTTACGCCCGCTCGAGGAACAGGTCTCGACACTGGAAGCCCAACTCGACCAGAACAACTGCAAATTCGGCGCCATGGACGTTGGGCAACGGGAAGCGTTCGAAGTACTGGACATGGAGCACACCTCGATAGCTGCAGACCTGGCGAGCATCCCCTCTCTGCTTGACATGGGATGGAACAGTATTGAGGATCTGTAAATGATCGTGTTTCGTGATTTGATGAGGAGTATCGTTCAGCATACTAGATGGTTGGCGAAGTGATTGCAATAAAGACATCAGATCTCTCGAGAACATGATCCATCACCCCAAAACCTTGACCATGGCCTCTCTCCACTTCTCACCCCATCTACCCATCGCATAGAGCGCCATACACCCCGTAACCACACTCCAGATACCCAGAATCGTCATCAGCCACCCATTACCTATCGCACTCAATATCGGCTCCGCAACTACCGCGCCGGTGAAAGAGAAGATATTTCTCACAAAGTTGTTCAGTGCGATTCCAGACGCAGCGCGTCTGGGCATGAACTCCGTGAGCATGGTATTAACCAACGCAAAGATAAGCATACTGCCAATGCCAAAGAAGAAATTACTAATCATGGGCACAATCCAATGAATCCCCTTCTCCGCCGTCCAGCCATAAACGATGAGAGCCGAAGGCCAGAGGATAGCAGCAATCCACGCATTCTCCTTCATCCGATCTTCAGGGCGGAAGATGAGTTTGCCTCTGTCGTCGTAGCGGCCTGCTTTCCGTGCTTCGCGGTGCATGATGCTGTCGATCCATTTGCCGCCGAAGAGTGAGGCGAGGAGGTAGCCGACAGAGTTCGGGATGTAGAGGAGGCCGATTATGAGGGTGGAGAAAGAGTAGGGTTGGGCGGCGAAGGTGGATTGGATGCTGATGTTGAGGATGTAGAGGCAGCCGAACGTTATACTGGCGTAGTAGACGGTCAGGAAGACGGGCGGGAAGCGGAGCCATGCTATGATGCGCAGTGGATCGATGAAGATGTGGCGTAGATGTAGTAATATGCTCTTGGTTTTCTGGACAGTGGAGGCACGCGTGGTGCTTCTTCCGAGTGTTGTACTTTGCTCTTTCCCGGCATCGTTACTGGGTAGTGTTGTTGGGTCTGCGGAGGGTTTCTCTTTTCGATGCAGGGTCTCCGGAAGAGCGAATATGATGAAGATCAGTGTCAGCCCACCGTAGATGACCAGAAACCACTGAGTCGATCGCCAGCCTAGCCCCGACCCCAGAGCACCACCAATAATGGGTGCGAAGAGAGGTCCACAAAGCGGTCCAAGGTAAAAGATACCCATCGCCCGTCCGCGCTCCTTTGTCTCCCAGACATCGGCGATGGTCCCTGCGCCTACAGCTTGCACAGATGCTGCTGCACCACCAGACAAGACGCGGAAGACGATCAGCATAGCAATGCTAGAGCTGATTGCGGACAGAATAGCAAACAAGACGAACAATATGAACGACGTTATGTATATCGTACGTCTACCCAATCGCTCAGAGAAAGAGCTCCACCACAACGGGAAGATGGACATGCTCAGCATGTACACAGCAACGCTCATGTTGGTTACCGTCTCCGTTGCATTGAAAGCTACGCTGATCTCTTGCAACACTGGCATAACGATTGCGCTACCCATCGGTGCTGCCATGGCACAGAAGGCGACAATGAATGTGAGAAGCCATTTCGTTTGCCGCGCGTAGTGTTCTGGGTTCTCAACCTCTGGGATGAGCGCGAAGCGCGCAAGAAGTCCACGGCGCTGTGATCGTGGAACAATAACGGCATCGGGTAGGACTGAGGTGGTTCTTGCCAGAGCAACTGGACGTTGTTTCGCGTTCGATGTTCTCGGCTGGTCGGCATGCGTAGAGTGCGATGAGGCGGTTGACGCTCGTGATGACGAAATCGACATTGTGTCGTTGTTCCCTTGGTTGCTTGTTTCTAGCATGTCCTTTTCCGATATTTCTTCCTGTTCTAATTTCGTCTCTTCTTCGATGCCTCGGTCCGGCACATTCTCCTGTTTCATCATCCCGGAAGGCGATCTTGCCCTCTCGTCGTCTGTCATCATCGCCCGTTGCAAAAAACGACAAGAAAGAAAGAAAGCCAAGTAACGCAACGCTACGATCTTCACAAGGTTATGTCAATCGACAGCTTGCATTGATTTCCGCGTGCACCTGCTCTTTTCCGTATGCGTCGTAATACCTCGGTTGTCGACAGCCGCTATCTCTAGCTCTTCAGCATACTATCAACGCGTACCTGTACGCTATGTACACCGCAGCATGTCCTCAACACGGGGAATGTGGGCGAAGAAAAGTCAAACCAGGCCATGACTCCAGACGAAGCCCAGCGAGACGCAGTTGTTGAGCGATAACTAAGCAGAACTGACAGCGGAACAGGCGATTTGCCATGCGGAAACAAATCGCATTAATTATATCCGAAGCAAGGGTGGGCCCAGTAGGAAGCATGCTTGCGATCCGGGTAATTGGAGCTTCACGGCACGGGATGTGCCAGCACCAGGCGTAGATCTGTCGTAGGGCCGCAGCGAAGTCAGCCCGTTTGATGCTTAGGTGTGCATCTGTCAGCCAAGTCCAAGAACCCTTGAGGTTGACATCGCAGAATCCGATCGCATCTGCAGGGCCGTTATCGTCACTTTTGGCGTTGTCGTGCGAGCAAGTTTTGGCGGGGTAAAGATGGATTAGCTCAAAATGGCTTGGAAGGGCCCATCATGGCCTCGGCTTCCTCATTCCGTCATCGTCGAAAGCTATTCCACAACACGAAGCCATTGGGTTTTCAACACAAACTCAATTAGCCGCCCGGTATACCGCGAACCCGAGAGCTCACGCCATGGCAACCCAGAACCAAGACCGTCTCCGAACACACTTCTCCTCAGCCCCGGACGAAGAGCACAACAACCGCTGGGATGACCTTTGGAGAGAATCTACATTCTTACCTTGGGATCGCGGTCACGCGAACCCGGCCTTGATTGACTTGCTGCAAGAGCGTGGTCGTCCATTGTCGTCCCCAGACCCAAATCCCTCCCTTGGCGCACCACCACCGAACAGCGAGTCCGCAGGCTACGCGTCTCTTGCTGGACCCCTGCGGGACGATGGGAAGAGGAGGAGGGTGCTTGTGCCGGGATGTGGAAAGGGATACGATGTAGCGCTGTTCGCGGCGCATGGGTACGACGCTTATGGGCTGGAGGTGTCTTCACATGCTGCAGACGCGGCGAGAAAGTATCTGGAAGACCCTGGCAAGGGACCGCTGGGAGGAGAATACGCAGTTGCGAATGAGAAGATTGGGAAAGGAGCGATGAGGATTGTTTGTGGAGACTTCTTTGAGGATGGCTGGTTGGCAGATGTAGAGGGCTGGGAGGGCGATGAAGGATTCGACATTATCTACGACAATACGGTGAATCGATTTCCTGACGTCGACCGTGGAAATGGCATCTGTACTGACGCGACGATTAGTTCCTTTGCGCACTCCCTCTGTCACTACGGCCAAAGTGGGCATCTCGGATGACCACGCTTCTCCGCCGCTCTGCCCCGAATACCTCGTCTACCGGTGGTGTCCTCATCTGTCTCGAGTTCCCAACACACAAGCCCGCGTCCTCAGGTGGCCCTCCGTGGTCGCTTCCGCCTCTCGTACATACCGAGCTGCTCAAACAGCCAGGCGGGGATATCTCGTATGACGACCAGGGTGTGGTGACAAAGACGGATAGAGAAGAGGCAGACAACGCGTTGGTCAAGATTGCGCACTACACGCCCAAGCGGACCCACGAGATTGGCGTGATCAAGGGTCTCGTAAGGGACTGCGTGAGTATGTGGCGGCACAAGGCGGATTGTCTGGACGAGCAGAGGTGGCATTGAGCGTAGCAGGTTGCTGAGAGGTTGCATATCTCTGGTAGCCGTTGTCTGAATGCCAGCATCTGCACTACCGCTCACAACCTCATCCAACCTTGCGTAGCGAGTTGTAATGCTCGCCTAGACCGTGACTGTGCTTGTAGTATCCCAGCCAGATTTCTTCCTTCTCTTTGACCTCGTTCTCGGCTTCTATCTTGTCCACCTGCCCATCGCTGTGCAGCACGCATATCCTTAGACCGTATGTCCGAGCTAATGCAAGCAGTTCCAGATGGCCACCCCATTCGCCAGTCTCTCTAATCTTGCGCACATGCTCCGGCAACGGGTCTTCCATGAAGCCTGAAAAGTCGTCCGCATGGCCCTGGATCCAGTCTGCTGCCGCGTGCCTGACCGCCTTGTATGCCTCTGGCTTGGTACTGGCTCCCTGATCTCCCTCTCCGTTGATCGTGACACCTATCCTTGGCTTCAAGCCCAATTCTCGTGTCTGCAACTGATCTGCGACAGCAGCATATAGACAATGACCATCCGCGCGTATCTCATGCAGCGCCAGCCCGTGTTTCCGTAATTGTGTCGCCATGCGTTCTCGTTCTAGTTCGCGTGGGTTCGGTGCGTTGGCAGCTTCGCGCTCTGCTTCTGCGATGATGGAGGCTTGTTCGGCGGCGCGACGGGCGAGGCGGGCTTTGGCACGGTTCGGCTTCTTCTTCTTGGGCTCGGTGGAATCGCCATTGGTGCTGCTGTCTTTGCTATCCGGACCATCTACTCGGAGATTGGACATGTCTTCTTGAATATCCTGCGCTTCATCCCCGGAGCTTTGCGGATTCTCCGCTTGCTCTTCCGCATCCACAGCCTCTCCATTCTGCACAGCGAGTTCGTGCGCTTGCCGCTCTTTCAATTCGCGCTCGAGTCGCTCGCACTCATCGTTGACGCCCTTTCGTGTCTTTTTGCTCGCTTGTTTCTTCTTCTGTGTTATACGGGATACGAGGTCGCGTTGCTCTTTGCGATGCCGAGATTGTAGCGCTTCGAGGGTTTCTGGTTCAGGTGTAGGCGTCGCGTCGCTCATTGTGATGGCGCAGGGTATCTTAGGACAAGCAAGGTAGGGAGCGGAGGAAACGAGTTAAGGTAGAGACCGTGGGTACTTTGCTGTGAGATCGACCAAACGATGGTGGGGTGGTGGGGAGCGCGACATTCTTTGGCGTCTCGGTGAATGGTTTCGCCGACGCCTACCTCGTCTGGCATGCTTCATCATCTGTCTTCATCCACATACTCCGCCTACTACCAGAGTCACCATCAATTCGATGCTCAAGGCTCGACTCTAGATCGCGTCTGCGCTTATTCGAAGATAAGAGATCTCGCGGGAACCCACGTATCTCGCCAAAATATTCCTTGTCCCTATTCTATCGTCAATTCACACTTCAAGAGATGGGTTCAAGCAGGCATTCATCTCATGTATCGCTGGCACCGAGATGTGACATTGTTCTTTCTTGCTTTCTTTTTTCCCCTCATTTGCTTAGCTGGAATCGTAGGCACCCGCAGTGTCAAGGTAGTAGGTTGCACCACCATGATGCCACGCGCCGAACATTTTCGAGATTGCCAGGACGCTTATGAACGACATCGAATTGAAGTTGTTCGAGCACCCAGTTCTAGAATGGCAACAGAGTGCCAAGCGTACTACAATAAGGCCTGATAAGTTGGAGACATTCGAAACAACTCTCACTTTTGATTCCGCCTTTCGGTCAGCCAAAATGCTCGAATCCTCTGGATACGCCTACAGTGCACTCCCAAATACGCTCTCTACGCTCGCCTCATGTTTGTAGTTCTGCATGTCTAGATGGAGACCATCAACATCCAGCTCATTCAGAGACAACTGCGGACGAAGCGAGATTGTCCGAACCGTGAAGCCCAACGTCACACAAAGAGAGTCGCTCAGCTACTAGCAATATCCTGTGAGAATAGCCGGCTATTACACTACTCTGAAGATTTTATTGCAAATGAACCCAGTACGGAAGTCAGCTTCACCATCCCGCTCCTCCACCGCACCTTCCTTGGCGACCGCGCGCCTTCCATTAGGCGCTACCGAGCGCACAGGACTTATCAACACCACCGCTGAAATACCACTGGAACACGTCATTATCTCACTCTGCCATTGGTATCGATTGGTACCCGACAATCACAGAAATGCCTTTCCACGACCAGGACTGGGAAGACCTTCAGCGCGACTGCGACATCTTCCCTGCCTACACCGACTTCATCTACGGACCCGACGAGCGCCTGGTCGTGACGCAGGAGCCTGGTCTACACCCTGCGATATATTACATGAGTCCGCCCCCGCCGGTCCGGTACACTAACAGCATGCCTTCACGATCTTGGTCTTACAAGACCGCCGAACGACTGGAGACGCTTGAGCCTGCAGCTATGAGAGAGTTGCAAACCGGAAACTATGGTTTCGCTAATACCAATATGAGTGGCACACGCAGCGGCAGTACTACTCCCGGATTGGATGTACGCCCGCAGACGGGCAGTCCCCTCTATCCGTTGTTACCACCGCAGGGCGTCCGCACTGTTCACGAGAAGGAAATTGCGCAACGTAGCATGTCGAACGCGTCGCAGCGCCGACCCCAGCCTGGATCAGCATTTCGCTTTAGCCCGTCGCAGCAGCAGCAGCCAGTGCGAATGACCCGGCAACAAACGCAGATGAGGAATGCTCCGGTCTATCAACAGCCTGTTGTTCAGCAAAAAAAGCCGTCCTTCTTGCGCTCATCATCTACGACTGATGTCGATGACAACCTGGCGCGGACGAACTCACGTCAGCAGCCAACCATGCTCTCGCCTTTCACCTCACCAGCGCCGATGCTACCCCCGCCAACTATGCTGCCCCAACAACAGTCATATAGTGCCACCGGTCTGCCTGAGACCTCTACTCCCAGCCCAGCTTTGAACAACTTGGCAAACCCCAGCAAGCAGGTCCCTCTTCTCCGGCCAGTCGATATACTGCACGATCCGCGCTACAACATCCTCCACCCCGACAAGCGCATGGAGATCGCCAAACTCCTCCACGAAAACGGGGCTGTCGTGCGCGACTCTCAAGATAATGATCTGCGAGCGAGAGCTTTCGCGAACATCCAAAATGCCACCACGATTGTCAACCAGTCAATGGCCAGCATGCAGGCTGCGATGGAGTTGCAGCAGCAGCAAAGGGCGCAGCAGACTAAAACTCAGGAGGGCTCCCAAGCGCGGATGGGACAAGTACATCAGACTCAACAGCCTCAGTTCCAGCCTCAAGCTCACCAGGTATACGCTCAGCCCCCGCTTCAACCGGGCATCACACCCGTGCAATCCTCCCCGTCGCCCCCGGACCCATACTACACTATTCCTCACACTCCTCAACAGCAGATGTCGCCACCTCAGCCACCTCAGCCACCTCAGCCACCCGCACCCCAAGGCTATCCGACGTCGTATCCTCAAGATTCCATTCCGAACCCTACACCGCCGCAACTGTCCGTCCAGCTCCGCGCGAACATCAATCGCCACCTACTACAGGTCTGGCAGTGTCTGCGGGTCGTGCTATGTACCCCGGATAACCCGTCAGAAGAAGCTGCACAGAACAAGGAGCGCGCAGGTCGGTGGATTGAACAGTTCAAGGCGAGCTTGCCGGGTGAGGGACGCCCATACCTGATGCAAGTCATCTCAAGGATGATCAAGGAGCATAACGCAGGGGGGAATGTGATGGCGTTGTTGGGAGTACCTTCTCGACCAGCCTAGACGGCTGCGTCTAACGGGAGTGTATACGAGCGTGCTACGGAGGTCACAAGAGATCACATGCTTCTGCTGTACAAAACGGCTTGCAAAGAGGAACGCATAACAGTACATACAACATAGCGCCCAAAAGTCGGACTTTCAAAAACACGAGTTGCGACAACTGAGCACTCTACATTGTGGCGTCGAGAATGCGTAACCGCTGCTAGTGGATGCGTTTAGTGCTCAGATTCTACGGTAATGACAAGATACGAAAGAGCCAAACGCTCTCTGCTATCTACCCATGAAGCTTTCCAAATTAGAAGCTTAGCCGCTGAGGTATTCCTTTGCTATGTCGCATTCTTGAAGTTGGCGTGCGAAATCTCGACGTGTACCCAAAGCGCTTATAGCTTTATGCACTTCTTGCCACACTTCTTGCAGTTCTCGACGTTGAACTTCTCGTAACATTGTTCGCAGGTCATCCAGCTGTTAACCATGCAATTCACCAACCTGAATTTCTCATAACCCACAGGAAAGACTTCTTTCATCCGGTCTTGTAGCGTGTCGAGCCTCGCATCGACCTTGTTGCGCGTCTCACAACAATGAAATTCGTGCTGAACAGCACCACCGTCTGTCATCTTGATGTCCATCCAGTTGACCCTTGAGTTCTTCTGGCCGCCAATAGGGGGGAGGCGGACATGGACTGCATTTGGGATGTTGCACATCATCCTGCCGGGGAATTCGTAGCAGTTGGGATTGCTGTAAGCGTCATCTGTGAACCCCACTGCAAAAAAGGGAAAGTTAGTGATTTTGCATAATGCTCGATAAACAAGCACTTACCCATGACCATAGCAACTGAATCGACGAGAAGCTGGTGGATATGTGGGTTCTCCCACTTCCCTCTCGCTTCAAAGCACAACTGGGCTAGAACTGAGATGAGTGCATGCGTACCCAATGCGGATGACATTACTTACTCCACTTCCATTCAACAGGAAACGGTTTCAACTTAGTGACTTCTTCGACATTTATGCAATAGCGGGGTGTGTTGAAGGCGCCGCCCTCGACGCACTCTCCATCGCGCTCTGCACAAAGAGATTTCGTTACATGGTCAATTGCAACTTTCCATTCCTCGCCTATGAGAAAACCTGAGTTGATGGCTGGACGGCCAACCCAGACTTCCACAGTGGCAAAGCCGTGGTGGACTTTGAGTGGGCTCCAATCGCAACATGTGGCGGTAGTCACATCTATCGATGTCAGTAAGTAGATGCCAGGAGACC